ATGGCGTCATCAGGTCCGCTGTTGTCTCTGGGTCCATTTTCAATGCTTCTGCTAGGATTCCATCTGGTCCTGCTGCTTATCCAGGTTTTAGCAACTTGATTGCATTCAGGACCTCTGATTTCGTCAGGGGATCGGTGTTCACTGGTAGATCTGCTTCCGTTGTTGATATTTTTGTGCGCGTTGTAGGTGGCAGTGGATTTAGAAGTCTTTAAAAGTAATCAGCCCAATGTTTTCTTTGTTCCACCTCTTTGGTGATTGACTTTCCGTTGTCATCCTTTACTAACTCAATCTCTGTCGATCATCGTTATTACTGACGTTCAAAACACTTATCACATCATCATTATTATTTGATGCATAAACTCATCGTCAGCTAATGATGAAATCCTCCATTCAATCACCGTCATTGGTTACATTTTGTTTTATAGATAAATGTATGTAAATTAGAGTAAAGCCTGAAGATCTAATTGAAAACAAGCATAATTGTTTTAAAACCAAAATTAAGATATCTACTATATGATGAATATTTCATTTCACAGATCAGATTACAACTCAATAGTGTGGCCTACATAATGACTCTTGTTAAACAGGATAGTGCGAAATTTACACGACGAATATTATTATGTGAAAAATACAAAAGTAAATAAAAAATAAATAAAACAGAAAATAGAAAAGGAATTAAAACTTCACAACAGATTATTATTATCATCATAATTAAAAAAGCCTGTTTAGCTAAATTTTTGAACTAAGCAGGTTAGTGTGTTTTACGGAATCACTCACTATGAATTAAATTTGTTCACACATTTATGACTGGACTTAAACACATATTAACTCAACAGGCTACTCTATACTATTTCAGTTAGTCACAGTTGATTCACGGATGCGTACTGATTTCGTTCACACAAAATACAGACAATTTGAGTTAGATACACACACGCACATTAAAGTGTGTAATTTTATAGACTGAATAATGAACAAATAGGTCAGTGACATAGAGGTAGAATGCCCGCTGACCACACATGTGGTCCCGGATTCGAACCCCTTCCGAAACACTCCTTCGCCTCGCTAAGCGAGGAATAAAACTGGTAAAGAGGGAAGGTTGGGCATCAGGCTAGCAACCTCATCCCGTAAAAATAAACACCATTGCTACCGAAACTCCAAGCCTCTACCTTGAAGCCCTCTTTTCCACTGGGAGTGTAAAGGAATAAAAAATGAACAGATAATAAACACAAAGTTAGCATTGAAGAGTCTTTTCCTATAATCGAATAATAACTAAAATTACTAATTACTAATCCCTGAAATTATTAATTACTAAATTACTAATTACAAATGGACATCCAGATGCGAGCACTCCAAAAAACAGCAGTGGTCACCGTAGTGCACTTCAAACAACTGGAATTATATGTTTTAAAGAAACAGATTCTGCAGCCACTATTGCTATCCAGACCTTGTGTGTAGCCTATAAATTCATAAATTCTGTATTACTTTTTATTAAATTATTTGATACTCAGTTTAGTAATACATATTTATGCATATTATCACTTGTAGATGCTTTCAAACTGTTAATCTATTGGTCTTACGGACTCATTATTATTTAGACAAAAACACTAATGTTGTTAGTAACAAAGCATTTTTCAATTTTAATGGACATAAAACTGTAGAACCCAGTTAAGACGAAGTTATCGAAAAGAATATTTTTTGTTCAATAATCAGTACATTAAAATTTTTGATGGGTATCTTTAATCAACTGAAATGTGAAATATTATGAATAGAAATATCTATTAAGGAAGACTGCCTGTAGTATCCATGACACCACGAGGCGTCGAACATATGATTTTCAGCTTACAGCATGACTTTGTGGCATGGTGTATAAATTCCAACTTTACCAATTTAACACCACCGTCATCCAACATCCACGGTGACTATTCATCCACATACTGTAATCAACTACGACTTGTCACAGGAATTCCAATAACTTCACCTTGTGACCAGTCAAATCTACAAACCTCAGATTTTCAGAAAGTACAGTTATTTGATATGGTCGAGTAAGGCAACTATCATCATAGTTTTAACTGGGAAGAACGTTATGATAGTTGAAAAACACTAGACAGATAATATGGGATACGAATACTACACTAGGAATTTTTCATGGCGACTGCTATGATCATGTAGACATACTATACTAGGATATCCTGAAGAAATCTCGTTTAGAATGAAAACAACAGCAAAATTTGGTGACTGACTGATGGGATTTTGCTAGCCATGCAAATGGATAGGATTCTATTTCCAGCTGAAGTATTATTTTTATTTTTAGGGGTTGGTTTGCACGGATTTGAGTGATCACAAGATCAATCACGAACTGACATGATTTAGAAAACTACTAGGGACCAGGAAGTATTAGATAGCTATTTAGTAATAGTGTTTCGGACTTTTCAGCACTACGTACCTATTATCCCACCAACCAGGGACCGAACTCAGAGCAACTAGTTGACTATTCAGCCATTGTAATCGAATCTAATGACTGGACCATGAATTCCAACTCGCGATACATAGCGCAACCATCAGCCAATGTCATTAGCGAGTGTTTGTTCTCACACATAATTTGATGGACCCCACTGACCAAAACTTCCCACTAGAAAATTCAGGCAACTTAATCCTGTAGTCAGTCAGTCACTAGTGAGCACTAGATGAATTTTTTTTACCCACAACATATCTAGTCTTCTTTTTTGACAAGTTACTCAAAAATTGCTTACAATATTCTTTCTTATTCATTATGTGCTGAAGCTGCCATGGAAAGACATCTGGAAGATGAGTCTAGAAATCACTAATGGTTGAACTTGTTACACACATTAATATCTAGACAAGAAAACCGAACAGCTGTTAGAAAACTAAGAATTAAGCCTGTAAACAGTATTTACATAAAGTGTATATCTGGCGGTTGCAGGCAATCGACAAGAAGCCATGAACCTAGGTTTCATGCTTATTGGCACCCACCAGTCAGCACTGTGTATTTTTTTTTAAAATAATAGCTTGACTCCACACCGTATTTTTGTTGTACAAGTATGGAATTTTCAGCATGTGATATTGGTAGTCCAATTTCGCAGGCCGACCACTGATATCGGGTGTGCATCCGCAGGGGATCGAACCCTGGACCATGCGCATAGCCGGCGAGAGTCCTAACCGTTGTGCCACTGATCCAATCTTGAAAGAACTCATATCCCCAACCGTGAGATGCAAATTAAAGACACCTACAGCTTAAGTCCGAGACGTTACCACTGGGCGATTAACTTTTCGCAAACTCGTTTTATCTAATTTACACACACAATCTTGATATTACAGTTGAGAAAATTAACCGAACAACTAATCTTTAGCAACTAATTATTGTGCATAAAACAATAATCAATACATATCAGTCATCATTCCCCCCCTCAAAAACAAAAATCAGTATTTACAACAAAATCGCTTGAGTAATAAATTAAAAATATCAAGATGAATGAGTATGACAAATAATCAGTGACTCCAACAACAACACCACCACCACAACATAAAAATAAGACAAAAAGTAATAAAACATATTGAATTGTATAAAAAATGGACTGGATGGAACTAAAAATCAGTTAACATGAGGGGCTTACCAAAGTGAATCGTCACTTCACTACGTTAAGCTTAAAAGAATCATACATGAGAAACTGAAAAAGGCGATATATTTCCGAATGTTCGTTTTGCTGGGATTTGATTAGGTACATGTTCCATCCATCACGAGTTGACATCAGCTAGAGAACCACCGGAAAACTAAGAAGTACTGAGCAGCTATTCCCTCTTAGTTTTCGAGTTTACCTGGAGTTCCAGTGAGATGTCATGACCAGCAGAGTCCACTAAGTCAGGTAAGAGGATAATCGTATATGATCACTTATAAGGCGAATGAATATACTGTATAAGGTATACACACATAAGTATGATTCAGTAGAATTCATGAGTTTGAGTAAATCTGACACGAATTGCATTCGGTGAACCAATATTACTTTGATAGAGAAGGAGAAGGAAAATCTAGATTTCAGAAGGGTTTAAGTTAGCCAATAATTAGTAGACCGATGCTTTATCAAAAGGACTAGTTGCAAAACCCTACCGTTAATTGTTTTCGAACTGTTTAAGTGTCACCTACTGATATCAATAAGGAAAACAGAATATAATGCTTCTATCTATGAACAAAAGAAATAATAAATTTCACTACAAACCGAAGCAAGTTAGAGGAATATTACATAACTGAGCACCAGTGGATGGCTGTACCATCCGAATTCGGGATTTTACAACGGTGCGCATCCATGACCGCCTTAGACATCGAGTGAAGGGTGACGACCTTGAGGTTGTAAGCCTGACAGACTTAATATCTAGCCATTAAGTTGGAATGAAATGACTCATCAAAAATATCTTGCATAAAAATACCCTTGATTCGTGACGGCAAACTGATGAAGACTCTCCCAACTTGGACAAAACAGTTGCCCAGAGCTCTCTGTAAGTTTTGAATGATGTTTAACTGATATTGATTCGTGATGAAATCTACAATGAAATCAATCCAAATCCTTACAAAAATCTATAATCTGAAAAGGTCTGATTTAAGATAATCAAACAATAACTAAGAAACAATTATTTAAAAGATAAATCCCGATATATGTGTTGATTAAGCTTCAAGAGAAAGAAGTTCACACATTCAATGTACTGTTTGCATATACATCAGAATGAATGAAAAAAGGGGAATCAAATAAACCTGTATGATCTAAGATTTGCAAAAATGGAAAGGATGAATGAATGAATGAAGTTATTTCATCGATACAGATGTACGAAACACCACCACTGTGGACTGTATCGATTATATTGAGACTTATCATGCTAGAATGAGATCATTCTTTATTCAAGATTACGTGTATATCGATCATCACACTAATCAGTTATAAACAGAATGAAAGTAACCTACGATTATAATACTTAAACTGATTGGCACTTACCAGCAATAGAATCCAGGACGTGAGTTTCTATCTACATAGGAGACTGATTAGGTAGATTTACTTGTATATCCAGTGAGTGGTGGTATTGCCCCACTGGAACTTGGGCCCAGAACGCATTGTTTCAAACAAAGTAAAGTGGTCCAATAGGCTATTTAGCCAAGAAAACATCTGGCACCACCTACTGAGTAGCATCCTGTTAATATTAACAAGGCATCATTATCATCAAAGTTCAAGTACTATCGAGGTGTTTGATATATGTATGAACAAACACTCCGCATTTCGCACTGTTAAGCAGTACGTACATATACGCATTTAAAAAAAAAGATTGAATCATACAATCTCCAACGATGAAAAGACTCAATAGAACATAGAACACTTTACTAAGCGGTAGAAACAAACTATGAAGCAGCCACCGGACGACTTTTGAGCAAACAATCATGTCATTAGTCATAAATGCAGTCATAGATGTTTTGCACCAAAAAGCTTTTCGCCAATCGGATTTTATTCACTTTTAACGTCTAAGATTAAGGTAGGTTAATGTATCCTCTTAGAGTAATACTGGAATTGAGTCAGATTTACGATCTCGGGTTAAAGTGTACAATTTACCATTTATTGGTTTTTACAATCTTTTTCTTCGGATTCTTTATTTAATATGACTTGGTTGATTGTTATAGTTTATCTTCACTTGATTGGTAGTAGTAGATACAACCTATCTCGAATTCACAACTTTTATAATCTCAGTGAATTCATCTCGAAACAAGTCACTACTAGGGGGGAGAGGAGCATATCGACTGAATCAAATCCTTAGAAATTCAAAAAAAAACACCTAGTTTCACACACACACACATAAATAAACAAAACAAGAAATGAGAGCACCAAAATAGAAGAAATTTTTTCGCGTTAACGATGCATATATATTATTTATCTCTTCAATAAAAAACAAAATCACCAAATCAGTGTGTTAGGCAATATATAAGAGGTTAGAAAAGAATTGAGCCACGGAAATACATTAAAACAAGAAAATAAATAATTATAATAATCACAGAACGAAGATGTTGATATGGATTGATAGAGATAGGCATACATACATAGAGAAACAATCAATTCAAATAGTTCATCTATACAATCTTATGTATATATAGATGATAAGTGAAGTAAATAGATAGATGGAAACAAATGTAACCCAGAGTATATTGTGAAAATCAATGATAAAAAACAGAATAAAGGGGCTGGATAAATGAAATCCCTAAAATGTAATTCATTATCAATCATAAGGCTGTGGTGAGCATGTGATGAAAGACCTTTCTTAGCAGTAGCAGTGTAGTACTAACAAATAGGCTGACAACTGTATCATAAACATTTGATGACAACAATTAGGCAGTGAAGCAAGACTGTCTTTCGTAATAAGAATATATATAGATATATATATTGATTTTCTGCTTCATCTTTCGGTAAACATAAAGTTATTTTGTGTCGTGTTCTAATGTGCTTTACTGAATTCTATAAGGTCTATCCTCCATATTTGAAACATGAGCTGCAACCACCACCACCTACCATATATCTGTCATCTTCACACGAAACATATTTGATAGGATTTGATTTGATTACCTTTGGAATGTGATCAGATGAATTTATTCATTCATTCACTCACTCGTTTTTTAGATAACAAAGACACAAAAACAATTTTGTTTTAAATAACGGAATATTTTTTCTGGAGGGGAAAATAAACGAAACTGTAAAAGGTGTATATATATGTATATAAAAAATGGATATTATATGCAAATAAAGCTATAATCACTATGAATGTTATTATTAAGTATTCCCATCTGACGATATGTAAGTGCCTGAGTAATGCACATTCGATACCCGTGATATTCATTGATCGATTGAATGATATCAAAAAATAAAAATAAGGTTGGACAGTTACAACTATTGAACACGTATTGAGCATCAGAAAAATTTAGTAGTAGTGAAGATAAGAAAGAGAAACTAACAGCTTCACAACTTATTTATCATCCACAATAGGAACCAATCAATGATTGATAACAAAAACAGTGTGAAGAAAAGAAAGAAAAATAAACTGACAAAAAGGGTGTTAAATGAAAGACATTACCGATTATATAATTTTGTTGGTTTGTTTTTTCGTTCGTCTATCTAGAGGTCTGTTCGCATTCACATTTGTGCATCACAACAAAATTCACAGATATCAGTGAAATAAAAATACAATATACGGAAAGATATGAAAGAATGGAGAACACAGGTGGTGGGCGACGAGGGGAACTCAAGAAGCAGATAAAGAAAGAAAGGCATACGATACATATTTTACTCGTGTTATTGAGCTGTTGTTCTTTGTTTGTTTGTCGCATAGAGACAGAGAGAGAGAGTGAAAGGCTGCAGGTAAGCAGCAGGTAACTATGGACAACAATTTTTTTTATTCAGTTACACTTTGTTTGTTACACATCCACCTCCTTCCCATTCATCTCTACCACCAACTACCGCCACCAGCAGCACTAGCACCATTTCCATTTGTTGGCAGATTACTCGAAGGTGGAATAAAACTTGTTATACGTGCATTAATACCCAATGAAGAAATTTTCGACAGAAATGAGGACTGAGGCTCAGGAGTATTATCTATTTGTGAGTTATCATAGCCTGACAAATTCGTCGTAAAACCACCACCACCAACACCACCGATGCCATTAAGACCACCATTCTTGTTGCTATTCACACCCATATAACCATTATTCTCGCTTGGTAATTCAAGATACTCAGTAAGATTATCTGCCAACAAACGATTACGTAATGTTGCTAAAGTCATACGGACATCATTCAATTCAGTTTCAGTTTCATTTGCATGACTAGTTAATCGACCATTTTCCATTTGCAAACGAGTAATCTCTGTTCGTGAAGCTATAAGAAAAAAGTTAAAAATAAATACAGCAAGACGGAGTGTAAAAATTCAGATATAATTACAGTCAACGAAAAACCAATTTTTATTCAGTTTGACTTCAAAGTACAGCATTGACCAGTAGGTATCTGGCAGAGAAACCAGTCTCCTTCCAAACATTCTGCTCGTTGCTGCGGTCAAAACTCGACAACCACCCTTCATGTGTTGCATCCAACTGTATCTACTAATTCATATATAACTCCGGGAGCGATTACATGAAGACAGTTCTGCGTCAGACTTTTTGGGAGTGTACCGAACGACCTTCGATTTAAGGAACCGAAAAGTTTAAACTCGTCAATTCCTAATCAGCTGAAGGACAAGATATAGAGTAGACGCACTGAGAGTATACAAAATAATTAGCAAACAAAACAGCCCAACTCTTCTTCACATTGTTGGGGCTGTCGCATTAAAATGACTGAAACCCAATCTACGTGTTCAAAAAGGATCCATCCTGGGACTTCAGTTATTCTGGTAACTCTCTCTCTCCTTAGTAAATCCTTTTTTTCTGAGTTCACCTTGACCCCTCTCCACACATCTCACTCGACTTTCATATTAAACTGAATTTCCGATCCTTTTTATTCGGCTGAATTTTGATTTTTCAATCTGCATTCTAATCACTGCATTATCACTGACTTCAAAGATATTCGAAGGAAATCAAATCATTTGATGACTAATCTCTATGTAACACACACCGAAAGGTTAACGATAACGAGACAAAAATGTACATGTAAAATTTTCTTTGACATATACACATAGATAGTACCATAGTAACAAGAGAAGGCAAGACACGGAAGCCAAACCGCTGTTTATATATGTACAGTTTATATTCTTCAACCAATCACCGAGCGTGTGATTTCGGTTTTTACATCAAACGACATGAAACAGAATTTTCAAATATACATGGTATTCTGTTGCTAATGTCGAAATGAATTGTGGAAATATGTGAGAATAATATTCTACTGGCACACATTGGCTGTATCACAACCACCACACCATAACATTTCACTTGACTCTAAAATTGGTTTGTATTCAATTACAGGAGGAAAATATTTCATGTATCAGAGGCTAAGAGTCGCAATTATCATTTGAGGGCTGATGATACCGCCTAATTTTCCAGGGTGAAACAGGTGACCCCTGTTAGCTCTTAAAGCAATTAGCCACATTCTGAAGGGCGTTGCAAGAGTGCATCTGGATAAAATAAAGATCGCACTTCAATAAATGTAGTCGTTTTTTGAAACATCAACTAAGATAATTTGAACACATCTATTGCCTTTGATTAATTTGCGATCTGGTAACTTTGAATATTTCACTATTGGGAACATTATTGTGAACATGCAGCAATTCTCTTCCTCCTGCGCAACTAAGTACACAGGCCATACCAGTAGAATATTCTCAAAAGGGGAAATTAAATTAACCCAACGACTCAATTCTTCAGGACCTTGTTTTTTTTTCATATCATACCGCATCAGTATATAAATCTTTCAAAGTGATATATAGTGTATCGCAAAGTCGTTAGAAAGATTTTCAGTTACTTCTTTTATTGATGAGGGGAGCTCATGCTTATACAAAAGAAAAACCTAGAACTATGTATAGAAAAGTAGTTTGTTCAAAATACCTTTTGCTACTGTGACCTAAAACGTGTTTATCGATCTGTACAAAATGTTACGTAACCCATCTTTTCCTTCATTTATTCCGTCTTCTTTCTTTACAAAACTTCTAAGTTGAAAATATGCTTTGTACACATTTTGGGTCTCCTACTCTCATGAACAATAATTCTTGTTTCCAAGCGGTTGGGGTTTTAATTTCAGTTAGACAAATGATGACTGCTTCTAGACGATATGTTGTATCATTTCAGCTTATTGTAGCAAACAAGGCGAACTTTTTTTTACTGTGGTGAAAAGTTCGCCTGTAAGGTGTTTGAGTAGAAGTAATTTTCATGATTAATTAATTTATGATTACAAAAGAGTAAGGCATAGAAACGAAAGATAGAACAACAAAGGCACTATTATTATTATTATTATCAACTTACATTGTAGAGTTTTCAATAAGTGATTTACATATTCAACTGTTTCACGTTTAGTCATATCTGAAACAAAAGAAATAATTTCTTTATGTGCATTGACTGCACGCTTAAAAATTAAAGCAAGAGGCATTAGTCAATTTATTTCACCAAATAAATATATTGACAGAAGCCATCAACAGAATTAAAATCCACTGGGGAATGGTTAAGCTCTTGCCACCTCCTTTTATCTAGACAACCTTACAAATGAGGATTGCTCAGGACTTTGTGTCAAAGAAGCAAAACCAAAAAAAAAAGTTCAACAAACAAAACAAAAGAACCAAAAGATTCTGTTTTCCTAAAAAGTAGAAAACCATATATACCCGTCATTTTGATGAGGATACTAGTTTTCTGAAGATAGGACTTTCATTGATTCTTCTGGGCGACTTAAAACTTATTAGTGGCTTTGCTGCTGGTCAAGGTGGCCATTAAGAATGCATACACACTCAGAATCTCTCAAATTATTCCCTCAATAATAATTTGGGAAAGTAAAGGCTCTCTGTCCATCGTCTATTCTTGCTTTCGCCTACCCATGGTAATGGTATGTTAGTAGTAGACGTTGTGGTTGCCGTTTACAGTAGTTTACTCTTAGTGTGTATGAAATTCGCCTGTCGCTTGCAGCTTGCTAGACCACATTGTATTGGTCATAAGATTTATGCCACAAGAGAAGGAGAAGCAAAACTTGTTATATATTTGCTACAATTCAGACAGAGAAGAAATCCATTTTTCCACGACTATCATTCAAAAGAGGAAAGAACATTGCATGCATTCAATGAACAACTGAAAGATTCACATCAAAACATACTACCTACATTGTGTGACTAGTTACATTATTACATTTAAGATGTAAGATTCGTTAATGTAAACAAAATATCCATCTTACATATGTTTAGATTTCATTACATAGGTTCATTCTTGTCAACACTCAAACGCCCTGAAGTAAAGACCATGTTTTGCTTCTACATTAAGACTGGTATTCAATTTTTTCCGGATATTTTTCATATTACTTACTAATCTTCAATGTCTTAGTTACGATTTCACTATTCATCAATCATCACCATCATCAATCAAATCCCTGAAAACAAACACTTAAAAAAGAATCATCACTTCACAGCTGTTGCTTAGTTGGCGTTCACGGATCATTTCGGCCATTAGCGATAACTGTGACTGGTCCTTTGAATAATCATTTACAGTTAGTTTTCTTAGATTACGTTTATTTTATCTTCATTAGACAATGGAATCTATCAGGTTTGCATAGCAAGTTGTATGCATGTAGTGGTATTATTCATTTATCCGCCACACTGTAGAAATAATTCGTAAATAACTTCTGATAATACATTGAAGTAGCAGTAGTTTTGCTTTCCAAAACCGCTGTGCATATAATCTTCTTGAAAATTTCGTAAAGACTATCTCTGTATTGAATCTTGGCCCCTGGAAATAACACTGCATTTTAATACAAAATTTCTAATTAGCCATTGAATAATTATTGTCGTAGCTTGAAGTTCAATCAATTTTCGTAGCCTTGCAAGTACATTTTGTGTTTGAAACCTTTTACTGTTGAGTATAATCTAAGGGGGAAATGTCCTTGCTGTTCTTCTTCTTCTGCTTTTTCCATAGTATAAATTTCTTCAAAATAAATGTTACTGAACATATCTAACATTTCCTAGTTATCCTAGCTAGCAAACTTGAATTGCAAAAATATGAAAACAGGTAGAATGAGAGTATCATAGACGGAGAGTATGCAAACCTACAAAGTATCTTCCAATGGTCTTCCGAACGAGCACAAATACTGAAAGCGAGGTGTTAGGACAGACAAGCTTCTTTTTTAAACAGGACGTCGTGATTTATGCATGTATTGACATGATAACTTGATTGGACAGTGTTGATTTGTTTATTCATGGGATAGATTTCTGAGGGTTTGTAAATGCAGTATACCATGCATTTTATCTCATAAAAAATTTGTTATCGTCGTTATGTTCGTCGTTCCCCCCAGTTCAACTTTGTATGTCGCTAAGCGTTGGAGATAATTTTAAGTGACCAGTTGGTTAGTTTCAAACTTTGAAGGCGCATTTTATTCAAGTTAGACGAACCCACAACTCAGTATTAATCCATCATAGGAGAAGAATGACAACAGAGATAATAATAATATTATTATTTCCTTCAATTCCCAAAGGAACATAGGGCTTCAGCTGCACGTCTCCATTGCCTTCGGTTTTCTCCCAGTGTTTTCAACCTGCTCCAGGTCTGCCCACACGCTTATATCTCCTCTTCACATGACCTCCTCCAAGTCACCCTCGCACTGACAACCAACTCGCCGCTTCCCCTTCGGGTTCCACTTAAGCAATGGCTTGTCTAATGACGTCACTTGATGGTTTCTTCAGCGTATGGCCAGCCAATCCATCTCCATTTCTTCCTGCCTATTTGTTTCACAATCGGTTCCTGGTTGGTTCGCTGCCAGAGATCCCTATTGCTGATCTTTTCTGGCCAGCCATCTGATCTTGAGTAGTGAGCAAAGACAACTGTTAAAGAAGGTCTGAAAATTGTTTGAGATGCTCTTTATGTCACACTGGCCAAGTCTCTGATGCGTATAGTAAGTAGTACTGACTTTACATCAAAGTTCCTGTTGGCCAGGAATCCTCATCACCTCTGTTTCATCTATGTTCATCTGAAATCCTATCTTTGATTCTTGTTGATTCCGTCAACTTGTTGCTTTTCACTTGCATATCTTCCAGTTTATGGGAAATCAGACATATATCATCGGCGAAGTCCAGATCCTACAAGTTTTTTGTGTGAGTCCATTTTATGCCTGTTTCCTCATTCCCCGTTGTCTGTCGCATTATCCAATCCACTGCAATCAGGAAAATCATTGAAGATAATAGACAGCCTTGCCTCACTTCTGTCTTCACTTCGAAGGATTCCGTTAGTTTTCCGTTTTGGATTACTTGACATGCAGCATTGTCGTACAACTGTTGGATGAGGTGTATAATTGCCGATGGGACCCCGTAGTAGCGAAGTAGTTGCCAAATCACCTCTCGATCGAAGCTGTCGAAGGCCTTTCCAAAGTCGATGAAGTTGAGATAGAGGGGTGACTGCCATTCCAAGCTTTGTTCTGTGATGATCCATAGTGTGGCGATTTGATCGATTTATGACTTGTTTCTCCTAAATCCAGCCTGTTCCGGTCGAAGTTGTTCATCCAGGGCGGCGTGTGTGATTCTCTCCAGGATGATGCGGCTTAGTATTTTGCTTGGGATGGACAGTTGCATAATTCCGCGCCAGTTTTTGCATTGACTTAAGTCTCCTTTCTTTGGCAGTTTGAATAAGTATCATTTCTTCCAATCCTCAGGTACTTTGCCCTCTTTCCACACCTTCTCCAGCAATGGCGTCATCAGGTCCGCTGTTGTCTCTGGGTCCATTTTCAATGCTTCTGCTAGGATTCCATCTGGTCCTGCTGCTTATCCAGGTTTTAGCAACTTGATTGCATTCAGGACCTCTGATTTCGTCAGGGGGTTGATGTTCAAATGGTAGTTCTGCTTCCGTTGCTGGTATTGTTGGGCGCGTCGTAGGTGGCGGTGGATTTAGAAGTCTTTTGAAGTGTTCAGCCCAGAGTTTTCTTTGTTCCACCTCTTTGGTGACTGACTTTCCATTATCATCGTTCATTGGCTTACTTTGTGTTGGACTTTTTCCCGATAGGTACCTAGTTGTTTGGTAGAGTGTGGCGAGGTGTCCTTTGCCTGCAGCTTGTTCTGCTTCTCTTGCCATACCTTCATAATATTTTCTTTTGTCTTCCCTGGCACTCTTTTTTACTCTTTTTTTCAGCGTATTGTAGTTTGCATTCAAATCCTGTTTTTGTTGCTCATCGGTGCATTGGATTATCTTTGTTTCACCATCCTTCTCTCTTCTGTTAGTCTCCAAGTATCCGTAGTGAGCCACTGTTTGTCCTGTCTCTTCTTTCTGCCTAGAACGTCTATGCAGATTTGACTCCACACAATCTTCAAGTTCTCCTAGTGCTTTTCGATGCTGACTTCTTCGTTAGTGTTGATTTGTGTCCCCGTCTTTCTCCTTATGATTGATTGAAGACGTCCTTTGTGGCCTGATCCCTCAGCTTCTGAGTATTGAACTTGGCTTGTAGTCTGTCTGCAGCTCCTGTTTCTTTGAAAGCTTTTAATTTGATTTGGAGTGTTCCTTGTACGAGATAGTGGTATGAGCCAACGTCTGCTCCTGTTCTTAATTTTGTGTCCAGTAGGCTGCGTCTCCACTTCCTTGAGCAGTGTTGAAATGAAGTCAATTTTGTATTTGGTTCGCCCATCTGGTGACACCCATGTAGCCTTGTGGATATCTTTGTGTTTGTATGCGCTGCTACCAATCACTAGTTCAGTGAAGGCGCAGAAGTCAGCGAAGAGTTCCCCATTTTCATTCATTTCTCCGAGAGCTTCTCTACCCATGATGAGTTCCCTTCCTGTGTTGTCTGGTCCCAGTTTGGCGTCCATGTCTCCCATTAGTATTTTAATGTCACCAGCTGGAGTATTGTCCATTGTTGCCTGTAGTTGTCTGTAAAATTATTCTTTCTTTTAGAGGTCTGCGTTGTTTGTGCGTGTATAGCATTGTAGTTGAAGTAGTTGGAGTTGGATCTGGCGGTCATTATCCTGGGCGAGATCGTCTCCCATTGCATCAGGGCCTTCGTTGCCATCGGTTATATCATGATAGCCACACCCTTGATGTTTTCGTGGTTGTCTTCTGGGTGACCGGAGTAGATCACTGACTCACCCGTTGACAATTTGGTGAGTCCATTCCCGTTCCATCTCCTTTCACATATCCCCAGTACTTGAATTCCGTATCTTTTTATTTCGTTTGCGCTCTGGGAAGCTTTGCCAATCTCGTACATGGTGGGGACGTTCCATGTCTCCACAGAGACTTTTTCTTTTGTCGCGAGGAGACTCATCATGCTGAAGTTTCTGTGGCAACTTTGTTTAGAGGGTGGGGTTGCTATCCTCACGCCTGAGAAGGGGATTGTTACATTAAAATATAGTTTAGAGAGAAGCGACCTTGTGGGTTGCTCCCCTTAAAACCAGGAAAACAAAGAATAAAGCAATCAGAACAACACCAGGAAAAGGAAAATAATTCACAGCAAGAAGAGCAACAAGCGACAACAACAATAATAATAGCACAGTTAGGTACAGTTAGCCGAAATTATACCAAAAACATAGGCTCACTGACTTGAGCCAATTGAACATGTATATCCATCAATATATACAATTATGGATATTAGTTATTGTTAGACAAGCACAAGGTAGCAAACAGATAATTATAGGTATTATGTGTCAACAAGATTATATCCACAGATTCACTGTTCGAAAAGCAAATAATTACAATAAGTTCCACAATTTTTTCGCAAGAAACTCAACAGAAATAAGAGTTTTATATAACGAGGTTAATGTTGTAACGTAGTAATCGAAAAGTGCGTTTGCATATGATAATAATAACTCAGTGGAAAATAAACAAACCTTCAATAGGTTTACTCGGCCGATCATTAGGTTGAGCGCCCCAGGTTGATAAATGAACACTAGCAGGTGATTCGAAAGCTGCGGATGAAACTTCACCAACACCATCTGTGCGTTGTTGTATAGGTGTAGTACCACCTAAATGAAAATAAATACAATAATAATAGTAATCAATCGTACATATATATGTCAGTGGTCCAAGGGTAGAATCCTTTCCCACCACGAACTCCTAGACCTCACCTCACCCAGCCCCATAAACAGGGGATTCGGATATGAGGCTAGCAACGCACCCAGCAAATAGGAACACCACTGCTACTGAAAGTACAAAGCTCCAAGTTGAAGCCCTGTGTTCCACTCAGAATGCCAAGAAATAATAAAGTACATATGTAATTATATGAGACTTTTCATTTAGTTAAATGGCTTTCTATTGATTTTCTCATCGCATGAAGTTGCCGTTAGTTTTTCAATAAATAAAATTTTTACGCAGTCATTTTCACTATACTTTGTAACAAAAAATCCATGAGGTAGCGTTCAACGTAACAAATTACGAGTAATGGGGGGTCTCATTCAGTGTGTTTAAACACAATTAGTGAGAATACATTTTTTATGTACCAGACTACGAGTCGTATTTATTGCTGATATTACCAAGTTGTCCAGTTCAAAAGCAGATCAAGTGGGACTCGAACTCGAAGCCTATGGGCGTTATGTGGAATGTTTAAGACAGTGAGCAACATGTCTACAAATCCAGTAAACTAAAAGCTCATGGGAAAACAAACTTTGTGTGTAATTCTACTTTAAAGCCATGTTAAAGTACGTACTAAGTCCATGCACCAAGTTACAGTTAATGTGCATTAAAAATATATACAACTACAGACTAAAACTGAATAAAAACTGATCACTAATCACTGCTACATTAAACAAACAAGTTAGGAATCGAAAGGCGGCAAAAACAACATGTCAATAATTGCCTTTTGAAAAATTTTGTTGAGTGAGTTGTTTAAGAAATATATTTTTGCGCTTAAGACATTTTGATTGAAAGTGACTAGCAGCAGGCACATTTCCTACTATAGATGGGATCCTTAGCTAGATGTGTACTCACACTCCAAGTTGGGGATGGGATTAGCACTAAGAGTCACACACAGCAACTCACCGTCTCAAACACCAGTATAATCAATCAGCGGCGTAAGTACAAATTAATTTAAACATGTACGGAATTTTTAGTGTTCCAATCGCAAAATCTATGGTATAAGTGTTCACCAGAAAACGAGACAAACAGTAATAGTCAAAGTACAAACGAAAACTTTGTATTCATTATTATTATGATAGACACCAACCAAACAGCCTTTGTGTGCTAATAAATGGTCAATAAAGATGATTATCACTATTCCCTTAGGTTCTGAGTGGAACATGGGGCTACAATAGAGCACCTTCATTTCACCCTATTCTCTGTAGTCTCCACAATCGCTTAGAAGCTTTTATTTTCTCCTCCATGTAACCTTCATCAGACTTATACCCATCTGATCGCATCCTATTTGAGTTCCACTGGAGCGATGGTCTAGTGCGTGAAATCATTCGACGGTTTCCCCGGTGTATATCCATTCCATCTTAATTTCCTTCGGCATAACTGTTGGGTTCGTTGATGGAGTTCTCTATCGCTAATCCTTTCTGGCCAGCCATCTGATTTTCAGTACTGACCGAAGACAGGTGCTGATGAAAGTCCGGAGCCTGTCATTTTCTTTTCTATGTCGTCATTTTCAAACGTTTATGACCACGTAATGACTATTTACAGGTTTTCACATACGTACCCAAATTTTGAACCAGAATATATTAAAAATAATTTTCCATTTTCTTTATTTTCTTATAAGCATACATAACTCACTAATTCGTAATTAAATTTTTGATCACGAAAATAAAAAAGCCTTGAACAACTTGTAGTGAGAAGGGCGAAAAAAAGACAAGAGCACTCTCAATGACAGAAACACCATTTGCGTCCGATTCGCCAATTATGTGCTGAAGTAATAAACACATATGCATGATTCATTGATACAGAGAACAGTCTGATCACAGGGCCTCAATCTCCACATTTGCTGCCAGTAAGGAACAACAAGAACACAGTAAGCTTTAGCTCACTAATAGCGTGAGTGCTCACATCTTGAAAGTAGTGTCTGACAATTACTAAATATCAATGTTTACTGATATATATATATATATATATATATATATATATATATATATATATATATATATACTCTTATACAAATGAAAAATAGATAAAGTACGCACCTTGATCATCCAAAAATGAGTTGACTGATGCCTTTGATTTACTCGAATCATCTTGATTATATAAACTCTGAGATTGTTCTTGCATTGGTTGTGTATACAAATCCAATTGAGATGTCGCACCTAAAACACAGTAAATAAAGCATTAGTGTGTTGAGTTTATTGACAGACACTGAGTAATAAAATCCTCTCTCTCTTGACAGTTATATAATTTATAGAGAATTCAAGAAAAATTCACTTTGTATTGAAGTCTGCACTGATGATTTTGTCCGGTAGAACAATGAAAGGGTTAACAATTAAATCATCCAGCTTAGAGATTGTAACTACACATGGAGCTACAATCACATCCATCGATTCTTCCCCTCTCCCCTTGTTATACTATTAGTTCGAAGATAATTTCAAGTTGAAAGGATTATTTGAGTTGTTGTTCTAAATCCATTTGTACATTCTTCCTTGGTTGATGATTATTTAAGTGACAAAACAAAATGATAAGTGAAGAAAAAAGGGTGTGTGTGAAGGAGAGGTCGGTCGTTGAATAACAACCAACAAGTTGAGAAGATCTATTCATCAAAGAATGTTTAATGCTGAAGCTTGTGTTTTCCACATGACAGATTTTGATTTCGAAACTCAAAGACGAAGTACGTAGGCTAGTCGCTTCTTCTAGTATCTGTCAGTTGAACTGCTTCTGTACATACAGTTGCATAAACTCTTTTTCTTGGAACTTAATTTCTCGTGCTCGATAACACTCATCAATGTGGCTAAATAAAGCTGTTGTATAAGCCATCAACATTTCGATATTAAACCATCTAGTCCAAACAGGCCATAAAAAGCCAACATTGAAGAGTCTTTTTGTATCATCGATCAAATACTTAGTAAATTACGACAGGTCTCTAAATACTGAAAACTCCAAACAGTAGAGGCTACTGCGATTCGCTTTAAAACAACCAGAGCTCTATGTGCGAAAGAACAAGTCCAGACACTATTGCAATCCTGGCCCTGTTGTAGACCCTACAAATCCATAAATTCTCTATTATTCTTCCTAATTCATCTGTAATTCAACCAGTTAAGTGTTATACTTACGCTTATTATCACTTACAGATGTTTCTGAACCATAATCTAGTGTTCTTATTGATGCAGCATAATCAAAAACATTAACACTGTTAATAACAATAATTCTTCAACCATTACACACATATTGTTGACATCAGATGGTTGGAGGTAGTAGGTAGGAAGCTTTGGACCTAGATTTCGTGCTAGTCGGCACTTATCAGCAAGACGTATCAGTAGTTACGTTTCTGACTGTAGCAATGGGTGACGCCGGTTCAAATTTCAAAAGGGAAATAAGTGCCTTCAGGGTTGTTGATACGTCTTGCTGACTGGCGAATGCAAACTAGTACAAGACCTAGGTAGTCCAGAGCTTCCTGCCGATTGCCTCCAACCATCTAACATCAACAATGCTAAATGCATCGTGATGGCAAGCTACCTATAATGGTGGCCACATTGTAAACCTGACTGACTAATAGAATTCAGTCTGTACCAAACAAAGGACTAGATACACTACACTAGTCACTGACTAGTGTCCAATTAAGTTACGAACATATTCCTCATCAGGCTCCACAGTTATAAGTTATCGAAAAGAATATTCTTTGTTCCCTAAACACGCAAAAACACATATATCACAACTGCTTAAACTTTTTTGTCACATGTTATTTTATTTACAATAATCTTACTGAGATATAAATTATGCCCAAATACTGTTTACATCGATCGAATGATCTCAAGCAATGTATGATAAATGGACAATGTAACAATGTGAATTACAACAGTTTCACATGAAAATCCTATTCTAGTAATAAGTGTGTTATAACTTTATTAGAGTTTAGACTGAATTTCTGTGTATTTACTTGCAACAGATTTTTCATATATAACAGCACTTTATGAAACGCCTTATGAGTGCGTCGGTGGCGTAGCGGTTGGGACGCTCGCCAACCATGCACATGGTTCGGGGCTCGATCCCCGGTCGGCGCACTCCTTCACCTCACTCAGCCAGAAGTAAAAGCTGGTGAAGAGGAAAGGTTGGGTATGAGGCTAGCAACTCCATCCTGTAAAATTAAACACTGCTACAGAAACTTCAAGCCTCTAGCTTGAAGCCCTATGTTCCATTGGGACCGTGAGGGAAAAAAAATGAGACGCCTTTGATGTGTCAAGGTTGACGATGATGACAATACTATGTCAAATTTTCAGGTTGAGGTGTATGTGCAGTGGAATGCAAGGCCAAAATCCGACTGATATAAAGTTAAGTGCTAAAACTGATGTGCTGTGTAAAGTAACAAAGAAGACATCACCAAGAATTAAAGTTAATTAGAGCATCATTGAAACCTGCGACGTATAAGATAGACGTTTCGTTCTAATTTGGAAATCATCAATCGTGAATGTCCCTACACTAAACTATTTGTTTTATTCATTTGCGTTCCCAATGGAACATAAGGCTTCAAGCTAGAGCTGTGAAGTTTCAATAACTGGCGTTTTTTTACAGGACAGAGTTGCCAACTTCACGCCCAACCTTCCCTCTTTTCACCGGGCTTTCTACCAACTAAACGAGGTAAAATAATAAGTCGACCAGGGCTCGAACCCCGGATCATTTGCATGGTTGGCCAATGTTCTACCACGCGACCACCAACACACACATTAAACCACGGACTCTGTAATTAAAAGGCAAGCGTATGTTACTACTAGGTCAAAAGATTAGAAATAAATAGCGTAAAAACTCTAACTTGTAACAATTTCCGAAATAACTCCATAATAATATGTGGTATAATCAACCCTCGTCCTAAATTTGATGGATTGATCTCATCAGACATAAATCCATTTCATTAATAAAAAATCAAGGTACTTATGTCAAAGTCAGACACTGATGATCGATGGGTTATGCTGAACGAACATTGAGGAAAATCTTGATCAACATCTACGGGTTTTCGCAATGTTTTTTCTCTCAAATGACATCAACTTGTAAAGTGATGAATACACATCGGTCAGAAACAATCTAGTCTTCAAAACTCCATAAACTGGATCTCTCTTATATCGTTTCAATTTCAGTTTAGTTCACTAACACAATATAAATCTTAGAGTTTTTACAAATATTGGGTAGAAAAAAAAACTATAAAGAAGAGAAATTAATTAAGTATTGTGCACAAAGGTTTGTGTAAAATATGCTATCGTAACTTATCACAAGCTGAAACAATTCCTCCTTATGATACAAAACGGCGGAGTTAACAAAAACATTAAAAAACGCACAGCGCAGAGGGATTACTTTAAAGCAGAACAACTATTGCATACATGTGGATAAAAAATGATGATTTGAAAGTAATAGTGAAGTATGTTCAGGTTTTTTTATCTTATCACTAAACTGAAAGGTATTATTCACACAAGGTTTCACTAATTGATTATGAAGGCGTTGAAGTAACAGTACCAGTCACTTTAAAGTCTCATGATAAGGCGATTGAGATACGTGTAATATGGGACTGAGAGGCAAACCTGATTTATATACTTTCGGTATGCCGTAACATGCATGAGTTCTACGTCTTCGTGTATTACTGGTGTAATATATCCTTTTTCTCTTAGTTCCTTTAGTAGGTTAGTTATGCCTCTTCCTATTTTCGCGGTTTGACCTTTTATTAGTTTCGGTTTTTGAAACTTGCTTAAAAGTTGAAGTGCTATCCATTGGACCTAAACTTTGTGTTTTCTGAAAAGACATAAGCCAGAATGATACTCATGAACAGATGACCTGGTTGCCTCCACGAATGATTGAAATCAACCCCGCTGGACTGCTGCTATCAGTATAAACAAAAGAAAATACGTCACATAGTTCACTAGTCAAAGAGCATAGAGAAGCTGTTACAACACTAAAAAAATATAAAAGTAGTCATCACCTGACAGGATACGGGTCCTAGAATCGCAATTGTGGGCAGACACAACTGCATATACAAGATGAATTTCATAATAGAGGACGACAACACGTTTCAGAAACCCAAATGAATAAAAGATCACACCCCAAAAGTAGAAAGAGGAATAAATAAATTACTAAAGAAACTAAGAGACAAAGGATACATTACACCAACAACATAGAAAAACCTAAAACGCACAAAGAGTACCATTTCGCGCATATACGGTACACAAAAAGTGTATAAATCAGGAGTGCCTTTCTAACCCATACTAGATATTTCTCAATAGTTAAACTTTATATTCACCCGACAGTGTGACTTAGATGACACGGTTGTCTCAAACCAACTGTTGACAACTTCATGGATTGGAGCCAGGTTTCGGTTTGACTAACCCGAATTCTTTTCCAAGCTAACCCTTTATCAGCTAACATTACTCAAAAAGGTGATGGCTCGGAATAGGCACCCCCCTGTTCTAGCCGTCTCAATCGATTCATCTTGACAATCTGTACGATCAACCTAGCCTGCTTACCCAACCGCAATATTGCTCACCATATTGTACCAATTAACACTTAGGACGGAACGCAAATACCTATGGTCAAAGATAACTAGTCTCTTCATATCGTCCAGTTTGAATAGCTGTTTCAGAAACATAACTGTGTGCATGAAATAAAATGTAGTTACTGTGCATGCGAAACGAACAGGCAGATAAATATAAAAGGTGACATAAACACTGTCTGAAGATAGTTCCTAGAACCCCAACAAACTTGAACAGGATAGAAAACGAACCACATATTTTAAAACTCTTGATAAAAGCAAGACACAAGATCGATTGTAACAGGATCGGGGTTCTACAGAAAAGCTTTTGCTCATGTAAGGGGAGACTGATGAAGGAGACCGAATATACATGAGTGCATACGAACGTTTTTAATAAATGCGAAAGTGGCATTACCTGATGTGTGGCAAAATCTAATAAACAAATGAGGTAGATTCGTATCAGCAGTAGTTTATTTTATTATCTCTTGATGTTGCAAGTAGAAAATAGGGCCGTAAGCTCAAACTTTCAGGTTTCAATAGCGTCTTTGTTTTCACGTGGTGAGGTTACTAGCCTTACAACCAACTTCCTTTCTCTGCTGGTATTGCTATCTATGGGCTAAGCGACGTTCAGAAGTGCATCAGCTGGGA